TTAGAAAGAACCACCAACACAGCCCCACCACCAACACAGCACCACCACCAACACAGCCCCACCTCCAACACAGCCCCACCACCAACACAGCCCCACCTCCAACACAGCCCCACCACCAACACAGCCCCACCACCAACACAGCCCCACCACCAACACAGCCCCACCACCAACACCACCAGCCACACCACCAACACAGCCACACACACCAACACAGCCCCACCACCAACACAGCCCCACCACACCAACACAGCCCCACACCACCAACACAGCCCCACCACCAACACAGCCCCACACACCAACACAGCCCACACACACCAACACAGCCCCACACACCAACACAACACACCAACACAGCCCCACCACCAACACAGTCCCACACACCAACACAGCCACACACACCAACACAGCCCCACACACCAACACAGCCCACACACACCAACACAGCCACACACACCAACACAGTCACACACACCAACACAGCCACACACACCAACACAGCCACACACACCAACACAGCCCCACACACCAACACAGTCCCACACACCAACACAGTCACACACACCAACACAGCCACACACACCAACACAGCCCCACACCAACACAGCCACACACACACCAACACAGCCCCACACACCAACACAGCCACACACACCAACACAGCCCCACACACCAACACAGCCACACACACATCAACACAGCCCCACACACCAACACAGCCCCACCACCAACACAGCCCCACCACCAACACAGCCCCACCACCAACACAGCCCCACCACCAACACAGCCCCACCACCAACACAGCCAACACACCACCAACACAGTCCCCACACCAACACACCAACACAGCCCACACACCACCAACACAGCCCCACACACCAACACAGCCCCACCACCAACACAGCCCCACCACCAACACAGCCCCACCACCAACACAGCCCCACACACCAACACAGCCCCACCACCAACACAGCCCCACACACCAACACAGCCCCACCACCAACACAGCCCCACCACCAACACAGCCCACCACCACCAACACAGCCCCACCACCAACACAGCCCCACCACCAACACAGCCCCACCACCAACACAGCCCCACCACCAACACAGCCCCACCACCAACACAGCCCCACCACCAACACAGCCCCACCACCAACACAGCCCCACCACCAACACAGCCCCACCACCAACACAGCCCCACCACCAACACAGCCCCACACACCAACACAGCCCACACACCAACACAGCCCCACCACCAACACAGCCCCACCACCAACACAGCCCCACACACCAACACAGCCCCACCACCAACACAGCCCCACCACCAACACAGCCCCACCACCAACACAGCCCCACCACCAACACACACACCCCACACAGCCCAACACAACACCCACACACCAACACAGCCCCACCACCAACACAGCCCCACACACCAACACAGCCCCACACACCAACACAGCCCCACCACCAACACAGCCCACACACCAACACAGCCCCAACACCACCAACACAGCCCCACCACCAACACAGCCACACCACCAACACAGCCCCACACACCAACACAGCCCCACCACCAACACAGCAGCCCCACACCAACACAGCCCCACCACCAACACAGCCACACACACCAACACAGCCACACACACCAACACAGCCCCACCACCAACACAGCCCCACACACCAACACAGCCCCACCACCAACACAGCCCCACACACCAACACAGCCCCACCACCAACACAGCCCCACACCACCAACACAGCCACCACACCACACAACACAGCCCCACACACACACCAACACAGCCCCACCACCAACACAGCCCCACACACCAACACACACACACCAACACAGCCCCACCACCAACACAGCCCCACACACCAACACAGCCCCACCACCAACACAGCCCCACCACCAACACAGCCCCACCACCAACACAGCCCCACACACCAACACAGCCCCACACACCAACACAGCCACACACACCAACACAGCCCCACACACCAACACAGCCCCCACACACCAACACAGCCCCACCACCAACACAGCACCCACCACCAACACAGCCCCACACACCAACACAGCCCCACACACCAACACAGCCCCACCACCACACACCCCACACCACCAACACAGCCCCACCACCAACACAGCCCCACCACCAACACAGCCCCACCACCAACACAGCCCCACACACCAACACAGCCCCACACACCAACACAGCCCCACACACCAACACAGCCCCACCACCAACACAGCCCCACCACCAACACAGCCCCACACACCAACACACAGCCCCACCACCAACACAGCCCCACACACCAACACAGCCCCACCACCAACACAGCCCCACACACCAACACAGCCCCACACCACCAACACAGCCCCACCACCAACACAGCCCACCACCAACACAGCCCCACACACCAACACAGCCCACACCACCAACACAGCCCCACACACCAACACAGCCCCATCACCAACACAGCCCCACACACCAACACAGCCCCACACACCACCACAGCCACACACACCAACACAGCCCACACACACCAACACAGCCCCACACACACCAACACAGCCACACACACCAACACAGCCACACACCAACACAGCCCCACACACCAACACAGCCCCACACACCAACACAGCCACACACACCAACACAGCCCCACACACCAACACAGCCCCACACACCAACACAGCCCCACACACCAACACAGCCCCACACACACCAACACAGCCCCACACACCAACACAGCCCACACACCAACACAGCCCCACACACCAACACAGCCCCACACCAACACAGCCCCACACACACCAACACAGCCCCACACACCAACACAGCCCCACACACCAACACAGCCCCACACACCAACACAGCCCCACACACCAACACAGCCACACACACCAACACAGCCCCACACACCAACACAGCCCCACACACCAACACAGCCCCACCACCAACACAGCCCCACACCAACACAGTCACACACACCAACACAGCCACACACCAACACAGCCACACACCAACACAGCCCCACACACCAACACAGCCCCACCACCAACACAGCCCCACCACCAACACAGCCCACACCACCAACACAGCCCCACCACCAACACAGCCCCACCACCAACACAGCCCCACCACCAACACAGCCCCACCACCAACACAGCCCCACCACCAACACAGCCCCACCACCAACACAGCCCCACCACCAACACAGCCCCACCACCAACACAGCCCCACCACCAACACAGCCCCACCACCAACACAGCCCCACCACCAACACAGCCCCACACCACCAACACAGCCCCACCACCAACACAGCCCCACACACCAACACAGCCCCACCACCAACACAGCCCCACACACCAACACAGCCCCACCACCAACACAGCCCCACACACCAACACAGCCCCACCACCAACACAGCCCCACCACCAACACAGCCCCACCACCAACACAGCCCCACACACCAACACAGCCCCACCACCAACACCACCACCAACACAGCCCCACACACCAACACAGCCCCACCACCAACACAGCCCCACCACCAACACAGCCCCACCACCAACACAGCCCCACCACCAACACAGCCCCACCACCAACACAGCCCCACCACCAACACAGCCCTCGTCTCCACCTACCTTGTTATCGCCTTCACTCTCACTATCACACTGCAAAGAAAGAAAGAAAACCATTAACATGACATAAACATAAACATTAGACATAAGTGTACAAAACATAAACATAAAAGTATACTTAGACATAAGTGTACAAAAGTATACTTAGACATAAGTGTACAAAAGTATACTTAGACAAAAGTATACAACAAAGACATACAGGTTAAGGACACAAAAGTCTCACCACAAGGGGTAATGAGGTCCGTGTCATATTGTTAGCAGTAAGATCCAGGTGGCCCTGACGACTGAGTGGACAGCGCTCGGGATTCGTAGTCCTGAGGTTTCGGGTACGATCCCCGGTGGAGGCGGAAACAAATGGGTAGAGCTTCTTTTACCTTGATGCACCTGTTCACCTAGCAGTAAATAGGTACCTGGGAGTTAGACAGCTGCTACGGGCTGCTTCCTGGGGATGTGTGTGTGTGGGAAAAAAAGTTGATTGACAGATGAGAGGCGGTCCAAAAAGAGCCAGAGCTCAACCCCCACAAGTACAACTAGGCGAGTACAACTAGGTGAGTACATGATATACACTTACACACTACTGGTAAGATTCATAAAGCACTTACGAGTCCATTTACGAGAGCTCTGCGTCTTGCCTCGGTGCTAATCTACATGTATTAAACACTACGGAATTCCTCTCAAACCTATGTTGCTGTCTGTGACGGGGGCTCGTAGCGCAATGGAGCTCGTAAAGTGCTTAAAACATACAAACATGATGGTGGTAAGAGGCACAGAGGTCGTAAGTGGACACGTAAATCCTTGAAGAATGCAGACAAGAGGTCCTCCACACGGAGAGGACCACAGGATGTGTACCTACACCCCAGGGCCCCCCCCCAGGGCCCCCCCAGGGGCCCGCAGGGAAGGAGCAACACTGGGAGAGGTACCAACACCCGTAGTGAAGGAACCCAGACATGAGACATGCCATAAAGCTGGGGGCAGAATCACGAAAGCACTTACGAACGTGTACATCTTTCCTCAATCTTTGACGGCTTTGGTTACATTTATTAAACAGTTTACGAGCATGAAAACTTCACATTCAACTGTTGTTATTGTTATAAACAGCCTCCTTGTGCTTCGGAGCTCATTAACTGTTTAGTAATTGTAAACAAAGCCGCCAAAGATTGAGAAAAGATGTACAGGTTCGTAAGTGGTTTCGTGAATCTGGCCCGCAACACCAAGTGCCTCTCACTGCTCCTGCCTCCTACGCGCGGACTTCCACCCGGCTCTTCCTGCCTCTCACCTCCATGGCAACACACACACAAATTCACTGTCATTTCCACCTTATCGGCCTCCTGCTCTCCTCCACGTCGATGGCAGTAATCTACTGGACCATTCCTTCTCCAACTTCCACGCGGAAGACTAAATTATGGGTATTTCCTCCCATTTTCCGATTCCAGTTTAAGGGGAGACGCGTAATAACTGGTATTTTCCTCGGCGTCAACCTCGGCTGCCACAGGCGACGGGGTGAACACTGTTATTTTACACTGTAATTTTCCGGTTGAGTGAAGCACCAACACCCCAGAGGTGAGGAGGGGGGGAGTGGGGGGTGTCACCCCCTCCCTGAGGCCGAGGAGGGGAGGGAGGGAATTATGAAGGGACAGTGCCAAGCCATCACGACTACATGACACTGGGAAGGGGTCAGGATAAGGATTTGGGATGGGACAGGGGGAAGGAATGGTGTTCAACCACTTGGACGCTCGGGGATTGAGCGTCGACCTGCACGAGACCGTCGCTCTACCGTCCAGCTCAAGATTACACCCCTCAATACCAAAGAGGGGTGTGTCTACACTCACCCCCCCCCCCCCCCCCCCGAGGCAAAGTCACACCCCCACTATTACACAGACAATAGCACACACACACACACTGTGGCATTTGTTAATCAATAAATAAATATTGACAGATGGGAAATGGATGCAGCGAGCCCAACCACGTTATATTACTCATTTATCCCAGCCACATTTGGGGCGAATGCTCTTTGCGTGGGATGAGGCATCCATATGTAATGGCGGTCCATTTGGCCCGCGGCTTGTAACAGCCCCCATGTTATCTGTAGTGTGATGGAGGGTGGCTGACCTGTACGCCACCATGTTTCTATCTCTCATACTTGTCGTCCCTGCCTTGTAGCTACCTTCTGGAGGTTCCGGGGGTCTACGTTTCCGCGGCCCGGTCTCTCCCTCCCTCTCTGATGTTTGGGGGAAGGGGGGGGGGATTGACGTTTCCATAAACCCAAACACACGCCTCCCATCCCAACATATGCCCGTCATTAAATAAACACTACAAATTACACTCCGAGACTACACCTGCAACATAAACCCGACTGTGGCCATGAACTGCTGAATTCTAACATGGCCCCCACAATGCACTTGAGGCTCCCATACTGTACATGAAGCCCTCACAATGCACTTGAGGCTAACCACAATGCACTTGTGATACCCCAACTGATCTGACACAACACCCGACATGGTCCAAACACTAACACAGAAACAACCCCAAGCAACACAAGACACCACCACCACAGATACTCTCAATTCAAACCCAACTTTCCATTAACTAATGTAGACGTGTAGGTATCAGAAGGCACTAAAAGACTGGAGCTTGAAAACAAAACACTTGAATCTTAACTCTTGAATCCACGCCCTACATCACGTGGTAAAATCCTTGCAATCTGGGATTCAACTGAATCCTCTACGGGTTCTGAGGACCACAGGATGGTCTACATCCTGTGTAGATGCTCATCCTGTAGAGGATGCTCTACAGCACTGAAGCCCAATTAGGGGTTTCACACATTGCCTCCCCCCCCCCCCGTGCACTCTGGCTGTGGTCCAGTAGTTTTTCCAACGCTTCTCTTCAAATGCACACTGAGGGGGGTGCCCATCCACATGGACTGTTGGGGACCGAACGCCCGTCTGTGTGCCTGCGGTGTCTACGTATGCAGGTTCAATCCCATCGCACCGCTTCAGATATTTTATCAAACAGAATATCGGTCTGAGTTTGGAAGCCAGACGCTGGAAGCTAATCTCATCCAGCTTTCGAAAATTGGGTGTGTTACAGACAAGTCGGGGTCGGCCCAGGTGAAATAATTAAAGAAATATCGGTATTTATAGACCCCCCACCTATAGGTTGTTTATCCCATAGTCGTCTAGCAATTACAGTGCTTCGTAATAATAAATAGGGGGAAGAGAGGGTTAGACCGTAAGTCCTGAACACTTAATAATGAAGAGTAAAAACTAAAAGAACTATTTTAATGCAACACTTGATGGACTTTGACTGGTGGGTGGAGGTGGCAGCCTCTCTGACACCTCCCACTCCACGGAGACCGACTCCCTGGGTATTTACCAACACGTAAACGAGCTTTTGTCCCATCACTACACTTATCACTTGCCAAAACACTCCCACAAATTACTCCCCAGACAATAGGCAATTACGTGTGACGACAATTAGCGGCTTTGGCCGTGGCTCGCCGCCAATAATTACGGCGGTCTTGTCATTACCTACACACCGCCCTCCTCGCCACCATCCGGCTATTAAAACACCGCCAATACCACGCACCTGCAAATTAAAATGCCACCAAATATTGCAGGCGTTGCGTACCTGTTGGCGTTAAAGCCAATACACGGCTCGTCCATTTAGATTTGCAAGATAAAGAAAACGGGTTTTACAATTACTCTTGAGCAGAGGCATCAACCCGACGCAGATAACACCAACAGCTACACTTGGTTACGTTGATAAAAGAATTTACTGATCCATAAAATGCAGATGAGCAACTAATGGGTTTATTGATCACCGCAGCAAAACACATGTCAGAGGCCGCAAATACACCAATACGATTTAACTGCTCTATCAGCGTGCAAGATAATGCTTCTGGCAAGGCGTGTATCTTGACTTTTGTGACGAGGGGATATTATCAATGATGCCTACAGTACCCCCCAGTCCCTCATCACCCCTGCCCCATCACCCTCTACAGCACCCCTGCCCCATCACCCTCTACAGCACCTCTGCCACATCACCCTCTACAGCACCCCTGCCCCATCCCCCTCTACAACACCCCTGCCCCATCCCCCTCTACAGCACCCCTGCCCCATTCCCCTCTACAGCACCCCTGTCACCCTCTACAGCACCCCTGCCCCATCACCCTCTACAGCACCCCTGCCCCATCCCCCTCTACAGCACCCCTGTCCCCATCCACCCTCTACAGCACCCCTGCCCCATCACCCTCTACAGCACCTCTGCCACATCACCCTCTACAGCACCCCTGCCCCATCACCCTCTACAGCACCCCTGCCCCATCCCCCTCTACAGCACCCCTGCCCCATCCCCTCTACAGCACCCCTCATCACCCTCTACAGCACCCCTGCCCCATCCCCCTCTACATCACCCTACCCCATCACCCTCTACAGCACCCCTGCCCCATCCCCCTCTACAGCACCCCTGCCCCATCCCCCTCTACAGCACCCCTGCCCCATCACCCTCTACAGCACCCCTGCCCCATCCCCCTCTACAGCACCCCTACCCCATCACCCTCTACAGCACCCCTGCCCCATCACCCTCTACAGCACCCCTGCCCCATCACCCTCTACAGCACCCCTACCCCATCACCCTCTACAGCACCCCTGCCCCCATCACCCTCTACAGCACCTCTGCCCCATCACCCTCTACAGCACCCCTGCCCCATCACCCTCTACAGCACCCCTGCCCCATCACCCTCTACAGCACCCCTGCCCCATCACCCTCTACAGCACCCCTGCCCCATCCCCCTCTACAGCACCCCTACCCCAGCACCCTCTACAGCACCCCTGCCCCATCCCCCTCTACAGCACCCCTGCCCCATCCCCCTCTACAGCATCACCCCTGCCCCATCATCACCCTCTACAGCACCCCTGCCCCATCCCCCTCTACAGCACCCCTGCCCCATCACCCTCTACAGCACCCCTACCCCATCACCCTCTACAGCACCCCTGCCCCATCCCCCTCTACAGCACCCCTCATCCTCCCACCCCTGCCCCATCCCCCTCTACAGCACCCCTGCCCCATCCCCCTCTACAGCACCCCTGCCCCATCCCCCTCTACAGCACCCCTGCCCCATCACCCTCTACAGCACCCCTGCCCCATCACCCTCTACAGCCCCTGCCCCATCACCCTCTACAGCACCCCTGCCCCATCACCCTCCCACCCTCACCCTCTACAGCACCCCTACCCCATCACCTCTACAGCACCCCTGCCCCATCCCCCTCTACAGCACCCCTGCCCCATCACCCTCTACAGCACCCCTGCCCCATCACCCTCTACAGCACCCCTGCCCCATCACCCTCTACAGCACCCCTGCCCCATCACCCTCTACAGCACCCCTGCCCCATCACCCTCTACAGCACCCTACCCCATCACCCTCTACAGCACCCCTGCCCCATCCCCCTCATCAGCACCCCTGCCCCATCCCCCTCTACAGCACCCCTGCCCCATCACCCTCTACAGCACCCCTACCCCATCACCCTCTACAGCACCCCTGCCCCATCCCCCTCTACAGCACCCCTGCCCCATCACCCTCTACAGCACCCCTGCCCCATCACCCTCTACAGCACCCCTGCCCCATCACCCTCTACAGCAGCCCTGCTCCATCATCCTCTACAGCACCCCTGCCCCATCCCCCTCTACAGCACCCCTGCCCCATCACCCTCTACAGCACCCCTGCCCCATCACCCTCTACAGCACCCCTGCCCCATCACCCTCTACAGAACCCCTGCCCCATCACCCTCTACAGCACCCCTGCCCCATCACCCTCTACAGCACCCCTGCCCCCATCACCCTCTACAGCACCCCTGCCCCATCACCCTCTACAGCACCCCTGCCCCATCACCCTCTACTGCACCCCTCCCCCCACTGCCGTCAGCTCAACCTGCTAACAGAGATCCGAAGCACTCGACCAACTGAGCCCTCGGGGCAATAAAATGCGTACACCAAGCGCCAGTCAACAGTTGTGAGCTCAATGTGTGTGTACAAACTTCAGCTCCTGGATCCTGCCTCTCTCATATTTCTATGTACTGCTGTACTCGTTTGTTAACCCTCTGTTAAATTGAATTTTTAAATCTTTTTAGATGGGCAGTTTCATTCACCCTGATGCCCCTGTTATCTAGCAGTAAATAGGTACCTGGGAATTAGACAGCTGCTACACGCTGCTTTCTGTGTGTGTGTGTGTGTGTGTGTGTGTGTGTGTGTGTGTGTGTTTACTAGTTGTGTTTTTACGGGGGTTGAGCTTTGCTCTTTCGGCCCGCCTCTCAACTGTCAATCAACTGTTTACTAACTATTTTTGTTTTTTTTTTTTTTTTTTTTTTTTTTTTTTTTTTTTTTTTTTTTTTTTTTTTTTTTTCCACACCACACACACACACCCCAGGAAGCAGCCCGTGACAGCTGACTAACTCCCAGGTACCTATTTACTGCTAGGTAACAGGGGCATTCAGGGTGAAAGAAACTTTGCCCATTTGTTTCTGCCTCGTGCGGGAATCGAACCCGCGCCACAGAATTACGAATCCTGCGCGCTATCCACCAGGCTACGAGGCCCCTACGAGGCCCCTACTACGAGGAGTGTGTGTGTGTGTGTGTGTGTGTGTGTGTGTGTGTGTGTGTGTGTGTGTGTGTGTGTGTGTGAAAAATTAGTAGTTAGTAACAGTTGATTGATTGACAGTTGAGAGGCGGGCCGAAAGAGCAGAGCTCAACCCCCCGCAAGCACAACTAGGTGAATACTACTAGATGAATACAGGCGCCACCACAGTTTCTTACAAGTGATTAAATCCTCCTCAGCCCGACGCAGTCAGTGGTCGAGCCTCCTTACAGTCAAGTACACAATGGAGACGCAATTATAATAATAAATGAGCGTGGAAATTCAGGATATTCTATTTAGTTACAGCTGGATAGCTGGCCGACCAGGGCCCCCAGTCAGAAAGCCAGCCAGGAAGGAGTCCAAGCACTCAGAAAGCCAGCCAGGAAGGAGTCCAAGCACTCAGAAAGCCAGCCAGGAAGGAGTCCAACCACTCAGAAAGCCAGCCAGGAAGGAATCCAAGCACTCAGAAAGCCAGTCAGGAAGGAGTCCAAGCACTCAGAAAGCCAGCCAGGAAGGAGTCCAAGCACTCAGAAAGCCAGCCAGGAAGGAGTCCAAGCACTCAGAAAGCCAGCCAGGAGTCCAAGCACCCAGAAAGCCAGCCAGGAAGGAGTCCAAGCACTCAGAAAGCCAGCCAGGAAGGAGTCCAAGCACTCAGAAAGCCAGCCAGGAGTCCAAGCACTCAGAAAGCCAGCCAGGAAGGAGTCCAAGCACTCAGAAAGCCAGCCAGGAGTCCAAGCACTCAGAAAGCCAGCCAGGAGTCCAAGCACTCAGAAAGCCAGCCAGGAGTCCAAGCACTCAGAAAGCCAGCCAGGAAGGAGTCCAAGCACTCAGAAAGCCAGCCAGGAAGGAGTCCAAGCACTCAGAAAGCCAGCCAGGAGTCCAAGCACCCAGAAAGCCAGCCTGCATGCCAGCCTACCCCTCAAGCAGCGTGCAGATATCTTGACCCATCTCAACATGGGGGTCCCATTCCCTGCGAGGAGAAGACACTGGAACGAGAAAGCACATGTCGAGATGGTTCATCCGACTGCGTTTGGCCAGACTGTTTATGATCATAAAAACGTTAATTTATTAATGAGAATCATCGCCCAGCGGAGTGGAGGCATGAGCCGCGGTGTCTCCCTCTGGGAGGAGTTTAACACCTGGGTAACCCAAGTTGACACGCCGGCTGCTGTGTTCTGACCATGGTCATCACAACCCAGCCCCCTGCCACAACCAGGCTCTTCACAACCCAGCCCCCCTGTCACAACCAGGCTCTTCACAACCCAGCCCCCTGCCACAACCAGGCTCTTCACAACCCAGCCCCCCCTGCCACAACCAGGCTCTTCACAACCCTGCCCCCCTGCCACAACCAGGCTCTTCACAACCCAGCCCTCCCTGCCACAACCAGGCTCTTCACAACCCAGCCCCCTGCCACAACCAGGCTCTTCACAACCCAGCCCCCTGCCACAACCAGGCTCTTCACAACCCAGCCCCCTGCCACAACCAGGCTCTTCACAACCCAGCCCCCTGCCACAACCAGGCTCTTCACAACCCAGCCCCCTGCCACAACCAGGCTCTTCACAACCCAGTCCCCTGCCACAACCAGGCTCTTCACAACCCAGCCCCCCCTGCCACAACCAGGCTCTTCACAACCCAGCCCCCCCTGCCACAACCAGGCTCTTCACAACCCAGCCCCCCCGGCCACAACCAGGCTCTTCACAACCTAGCCCCCCCCTGCCACAACCAGGCTCTTCACAACCCAGCCCCCCCTGCCACAACCAGGCTCTTCACAACCCAGCCCCCTGCCACAACCAGGCTCTTCACAACCCAGCCCCCCCTGCCACAACCAGGCTCTTCACAACCCAGCCCCCCCAGCCACAACCAGGCTCTTCACAACCCAGCCCCCCTGCCACAACCAGGCTCTTCACAACCCAGCCCCCTGCCACAACCAGGCTCTTCACAACCCAGCCCCCTGCCACAACCAGGCTCTTCACAACCCAGCCCCCCCCTGCCACAACCAGGCTCTTCACAACCCAGCCCCCTGCCACAACCAGGCTCCTCACAACCCAGCCCCCCTGCCACAACCAGGCTCTTCACAACCCAGCCCCCCTGCCACAACCAGGCTCTTCACAACCCAGCCCCCCTGCCACAACCAGGCTCTTCACAACCCAGCCCCCCTGCCACAACCAGGCTCCTCACAACCCTGCCCCCCCTGCCACAACCAGGCTCTTCACAACCCAGCCCCCTGCCACAACCAGGCTCTTCACAACCCAGCCCCCCTGCCACAACCAGGCTCTTCACAACCCAGCCCCCCTGCCACAACCAGGCTCTTCACAACCCAGCCCCCCCTGCCACAACCAGGCTCTTCACAACCCAGCCCCCCTGCCACAACCAGGCTCTTCACAACCCAGCCCCCCTGCCACAACCAGGCTCTTCACAACCCAGCCCCCCTGCCACAACCAGGCTCTTCACAAACCCAGCTCTTCACAACCCAGCCCCCTGCCACAACCAGGCTCTTCACAACCCAGCCCCCCTGCCACAACCAGGCTCTTCACAACCCAGCCCCCCCTGCCACAACCAGGCTCTTCACAACCCAGCCCCCCCTGCCACAACCAGGCTCTTCACAACCCAGCCCCCTGCCACAACCAGGCTCTTCACAACCCAGCCCCCCCCCTGCCACAACCAGGCTCTTCACAACCCAGCCCCCTGCCACAACCAGGCTCTTCACAACCCTGCCCCCCCTGCCACAACCAGGCTCCTCACAACCCAGCCCCCCTGCCACAACCCAGCCCCCCCTGCCACAACCCAGCCACCCCCTGCCTTCACAACCCAGCCCCCCCTGCCACAACCAGGCTCTTCACAACCCAGCCCCCCCTGCCACAACCAGGCTCTTCACAACCCAGCCCCCCTGCCACAACCAGGCTCTTCACAACCCAACCCCGTACCACAACCAGGCTCCTCACAACCCAGCCCCCCCCTGCCACAACCAGGCTCTTCACAACCCAGCCCCGTACCACAACCAGGCTCCTCACAACCCAGCCCCCCCCCTGCCACAACCAGGCTCTTCACAACCCAGCCCCGTACCACAACCAGGCTCTTCACAACCCAGCCCCCCCCTGCCACAACCAGGCTCTTCACAACCCAGCCCCCCTGCCACAACCAGGCTCTTCACTACCCAGCCCCGTACCACAACCAGGCTCCTCACAACCCAGCCCCCCTGCCACAACCAGGCTCTTCACAACCTAGCCCCCTGCCACAACCAGGCTCTTCACAACCCAGCCCCCTGCCACAACCAGGCTCTTCACAACCTAGCCCCCCTGCCACAACCAGGCTCTTCACAACCCAGCCCCCCTGCCACAACCAGGCTCTTCACAACCTAGCCCCCCTGCCACAACCAGGCTCTTCACAACCCAGCCCCCTGCCACAACCAGGCTCTTCACAACCTAGCCCCCTGCCACAACCAGGCTCTTCACAACCCAGCCCCCTGCCACAACCAGGCTCTTCACAACCCAGCCCCCTGCCACAACCAGGCTCTTCACAACCCAGCCCCCCTGCCACAACCAGGCTCTTCACAACCTAGCCCCCCTGCCACAACCAGGCTCTTCACAACCCAGCCACAAAGCCCTCTCATGCTAAGCGTAAAGGCCTCGTACCACATAATCTTACACCAGCAAATTACTGTGTTTGTACCTGCATCAAGGCTGCACCTGTACTAATTTTGACAAGGTTTAAGAGTTCTCGCATACTTGTAGGCTAAGAACATTCCTTCCTACTCTCTCTCTCTCTCTCTCTCTCTCTCTCTCTCTCTCTCTCTCGTTTAATCAATGTAATCTTAAACTGCATGGTTAAGGTGTCGGGTGTAGTTAAAGTGTCGGGTTAGCCAAGCAGAGACTCAGATTTCAAAGCTTGGAATGGAAGGTGTTAGATTTTAGTTCAGTAAATTCAGCTTGTAAATACCTGACAAGGAAAATTACTCTCTTATTCCGCACAGTCTGTGATTGGGGCAGCGGACCCGTGAGATTGGGGCACCAGACCCGTGTGATTAGGGCACCGGACCCGTGTGATTGGGGCACCAGACCCGTGTGATTAGGGCACCAGACCCGTGTGATTGGGGCACCAGACCCGTGTGATTAGGGCAGCGGACCCGTGAGATTGGGGCACCAGACCCGTGTGATTAGGGCACCGGACCCGTGTGATTGGGGCACCAGACCCGTGTGATTAGGGCACCGGACCCGTGTGATTGGGGCACCAGACCCGTGTGATTAGGGCACCGGACCCGTGTGATTGGGGCACCAGAGCCGTGTGAACACATACCCACCTCGCTGTTGGGGATTGTGGAGAAAAAGAAAGTTCC